TGTATTCAGCATTGTTTCGTGCTGACTCGGACCACAGTCTCTGCCTGAGATATCTGCGAGTCTGCTTCTTCCGAATCTATTTTGTCGAGATCTTTCTCTTGCTTCTTCTTTCTGTTTTGCTGTTGCTCTCTTCGAGGCCACCACCGCCACCACCATTATTTAGTTCACAGGCTCGAAAATGAAAGGCCTCTTATATTACAGGGATGCAGAGATGTCATGTGTGCATTCTGCAGTGCATCGAGTCTTGGATTCGCTTCCTCGTTGAAAACACTTCCCCCTTTCTTTTCTTTCCTTTTTTTTTTTTTGTCGCCTTCTGCGTGTATGTGATTATCCTCAACCGTAACTCAGCATGATATATTACGGACATCTATGTTCCCGTTCCTTTTATTTATTCTATATATATACATATATATATATTACTTTTGTGGACACTTGTTTTGTATTTTGTTGACCCGGACGCTTCGAATGCATCCCCGCGTACCACCCATGTATAGAGTCATTGCATGTGGTAACCCATCTTTACGTTACGGCACCGCATTTCTGCAGCGCGCACCTCACAATCAGTTCGAGTTGGTTGCGACGATTGTTGCTATCCGAACCCCGAAAAGAAATGCAGCAAGGAATGCAAGAAAACAAAAAATACGGTCGAACGTTTCCAACCTCATCATCTTTAAAGGGGTGCCTATTTTGGGTCCTCCGACTCCGTCAACCGTTCTCTAAGGCCTATTGTTTTCCTCTTCTTTTTTTGCCCCTTGTTTTGTCTTTTAAACCGAGAAATATAGGCAATTTCTGCGATCTTCACTCATAAGAAATCAATAACGCTGAATATAGCACGAAACACGCACAACCACCAAGTGTTTCAATTCCTTTTTTCCCTTTGTTACTCGTCTACTTAGGTAGTGTTTGGAGTGCTGTATTTTTCAACTTTCATAATGCTGCCCATAACACGTTTACCTGTCCTTCTTACACTGATGATACTGTAACGTAATGAGCAAACATCTTTAAAGGAGTCATGAAAGTATATCGGTTTGGAATATTCATGACTTTGCAGAGGACTACTAGTCCTAGTCCGACCCAGGTATACTCGCACAGACCGCCGCTGATTCAGAAGCTTATTTGTCGTGGTGAAATTGCGAGGATAAAAGGGGACTTTTTTTCTTTTTCAGTCCTCCTTTCGCAAAAGCTTGATTACGTAATTGTGGGATCGAAACCACCCGCTTGATGACAGTCGAGAGCGGCTCATTGATTGGACACGAGAACTGCGTAAGCACTCGACTTCGGCTCGTAACGACCAATGCCTCTGCAGACACTCGGCTAGGGGCTCGTGTCCAACCTCTGCGGTGATGAGAACAGGCGAACTCTAACAATGCCTGGAGCTCAGCACGCGTTTTCTACTTCGCTGACCCCAGCGCGTGGCTGCGATTAACGTTGGTGGCATAGGATAAGCGGGAAGTCACGTGGTCGCTTGTTCTGACTCTGAGTTGAGGGGATGAGCGATGCTCATAGTTCTCGAATTTTTTTTTTTGGCACCCGCCATTTCCTAGAAAGAAAAAAGACTAATACAAGTTTATTCAGTTATTTAACGTTAGGGAGTGATTCAAAGCAGTATTTAGTGAAAGTAGAAAAATCGTTTTATGACCCTTTATATTCTCTGATGAGTTATGTGTTTGGTTGGCGGTATTACGTAGTTCCAACCTGCTTTCAATTGATAGCTGAATTTTTACACATCTTTTTCTAAATGAAATATTCAAATATATAAAAGACATGTTCGAAAGAAAGGTTCTTGCCCGTTCGCAAAGTTGATTATGCTTCGCTAAGACGAGAGGCACATCCATCAATAGAATAAAAAAACCAGCGCAAAATAGACAGGACAATGTCAGAGGCACACCCGAGAAAGGCGCTAAATATTCCCCGCTGTCCTAATCACCTCACATCTGGTCTTTATATCAATCGTTCTAGTTCAAATTTTTTGCAGCTTGTCCATTGATGGAGTTTGCAATAGTCGGTTCCAGAATATAATATATATATATATATATTCACTTCTCTAAATAAACATTGAACGGAATCAAACTTGTTCGGAGAAGGGGAACAAAGGTACGACAAAATATCCCATCGGTTTATATTTCTCGGTAAATATAACATAACGCCGTCACGCTTTCATTTCAAGGCGTGTTTTCTGATGTACCCATACGTTTAGTTTCAAGATAGGAAACGCCACGGAAAGAACAATTAGTTACACATTTTTTTGCTTCTCTTTTGGAATGGCGTACACGTCACTGCACGCACGCACACGCACACACACACACACACACACAGGCACAAAACCAACACACGTCCAAATCGACACACACGCTACGTTTCAACGTTTGTTCAGTGTGACAAGTTTGATCGGAAGACAGCAGCTTCCCCTCAAGGCGCTGGACGCTTACACGGAAGCACAGCTTCGTGTAGGTTGGTGGGCAATTAGAACAGCCTGCTCCTTCCATCTCTCTCTCTCTCTCTCTCTCTCTCTTCCTGTATTTCTATTTGCTCCCTCAGCGCAACAGAGCCCCAGGCTTAACCTAGTAGCACCCCTCTTCCCCTCTCTCCACTCCCTCCTGCACACCGCGTCGTATTTTGTGCCGAGCCAGCGTTTCTCCGATTTATCTCTCCTCTTCCTTGAAAGAGAGTGCAATGGCGGCTGTTTCCGTTCCTCTGTCCTTTCTTCATCTCCCTTTCCCAGACCCCCGGGGGTATGCTTTCGTTTTAGTTTTCCTGAAAGGATCTTCTCCTCTCCCCGTCTGTGGATCTCTGTTTGTGTGTTGTCCTTGCGCGTATATGTGTTTGTCGCCCTTGTGTGTCTGCGTGTGTGTGTGTGTTGTTTTTGTTGGCCCGGGTTTCGCGATCGAAGACGATCGCGCGTGTAGACTCCGTCCTCTCTTTCTGGGTCTCCTTAGATAGGCTTTCCTGTTGTCTCCCCTTTTGCTCGCTTGTCCTTCGTTCTCGTTTTCGAATTTTATTTGCCCTTTTTTTTTTTTAGGACGAGCTTGTTGTTCCTGGCGTGGCGCCACCTAAATGAAACTGGACGACAAACTAGCTTACGTTTTCTGGATCCCTTTTTCTCACTTCCGCGTTTACCGGCATTTGTCCGCTTTATTTTGCGTCGCTGTCCTTCCCGTATACGCCGAGACGGCGTCTCTGTTGTGGTGTTCTCTAGGCAAATCGAGCTATGTGAGGCGAAAGTGGTCCGAGCAATTTCGCGCGCTGAATCATAGATGAATCCTGGGTGTATATATAGGCAACAATCGGGGTAGATGAGTGCGCTAGCTGACGACACGTTAGGAGGCAATTGCGCCGTGAATTCTTGATTGGCCTCGTTTATCTTACGTAGCGCCGTCCATCACGGCAACGTCTGTTGCATAGATGTTTCTGCAACGTTTCACATGATTTTTGTTTTCTTTTTAGGCGGGGGGGGGGGGGGGGGGGGGTCGTTGTTGCTGCTACAGTCTATAAACAAAAACCAAACTGAGCAGACTGTATCGTCGAATATTGTATTGTATCTCCAACTATTATGTTTATCTCATGCGGCCTTCATACTGGCGTTCGAACCGGAACCTTGAAGCGAATCCTATCGTTTTGCTCCCTCAAATGCGCGCGAGACGGAACGAAATCTTTATTAAGCGGCCGCGTTCGTAACCGTCTCGCCATTGCAGTTCAACCGCGAGTTGGAACGAGACATTCGTTTTCGGCTTTGAGTGTGTTCGTGTAAGAGTAAACAGACAAACACACTGTTTACTAACAAGCTAGTATGCGCGTATGTGCAACGCCGACAGCAGCGCCACCACAGTCCCGTGACGTCACAGGGTCGAGTTGGAACATAGGAAACGCTTGCGATGATGGGTCAGCCTCGCAGTGCCCAATCAACTTAAATGCGCCACTAACGTAACGTTTGTGGAAACCGTTAGTCGGGTATTATTAGTGAGAGTAATACTCCTATCACACGGCAAATATTAATGTCATTTGCGTCAAATGACATCGGGTGATCGGTGAATCAGTTCGAGATCCTGCCGATTCGAGTGTCACGCATGCCCGGCGCTGCGCCAGGAGTGGCGTACCCTGACTGGCCGCTCAGAGGACTTTTAGCAAACCGTTACCCTGTTACCTTACTATACCGGACCCTTTGAAGCACGTTTTGAAGTTCGTGCGCGGGTGAAACCATGACTGCGGGGTGCGCGCGTTTAAAAGCATGCTTCAAAAGCTCCGGTAGTGCTGTACGCGTAACACGGTAAAGGTCTTGCTAAAACTCGCCAATGTCATTCGAGGAAAATGAGATCAAAACTTTGCCGCGACACTATTATGTTTTTACGAAAACAAAACGCAATACTTCGTAGTGGCTCGCTTAGTTAAAGTTAAACAATTATTTATTTCGAAACTGTAATAAAAAATAAAAGTCACACGCTTAACTATTTCTTAAAGCCTACCGATTTTTTTTTTTTTCGAATACAAGACACAATTTCGCATACATTCTGGCCGTTATACAATATCAAAACCGACGCTATATACGGTGATGTTGTAGACGTTACTTGGAGTATAGTTAAGTAAATACTTCCGCACGATCGAAACATACGTGAAACACGTTACTCCATATGTGTGCGAAATATAAACCCCCAGTCACACTGTTCACACCTCATGCAAAAGACATGGTGTTCGCTGTAGACATCATGATAGAGTTATCTACGCACACACATCATGCAAACACTTGAAGCAAGTTCTCTTCTTAGATAGACTAACGCTTCGAAAAAATTTGCTTACGCTCCTTTTTTTTTTTTTTTTAACGACTATAGTGATAGGTTTTTTAGACAAGGGAAAAACCGAGCCTCAAAATTTGTGCGCAAACTATTTTCGGACAGTGCGCAGAAGTATGACAAGTATAACGCGCTGCCTGTAAATTGTAAACGTGCAGAATCTGGTTTTGTCGCTAACCCCCCGTGGCTTCTCTCCCTCTCCTATTCTCTACGCAGATCTCGTGGAATACCGCCGGCCCGACGAGACTGCACTAAGCAGCGGCGGCATCAGCGGCGGCGCTGGCAACCCCTGCAGCCATGCGTCCCTCATCCGGGTCCTTGTGGATACTGAGCGCGCTCCTGCTCGGCCTAGCGTCGCTGACGTCTTCAGCCAGGCGCGGGGGTGAGTCAGCGATTCTTGATGCGAACGCCTCGCTCCTCGCGCGCCTCTTTCTTTATGCAAATCGAGAGCGGCAGAGACGACGTCGACGCGAGTCGAAATCCTTGCGGTTTCGAGACTGTTCCTGGGATTCCGATGCGTCCCGACTCGCGCTGGCGCGTACGGTTCGTTGCGTTTTTTTTTTTTTTATGTGTATGTTTGTGTTGGTGTGCCCGCGACGCGAATCTTTTATGCGGGCGGTCGTTTGATCGTGCCTTTCTTTTTTCTGTGGTTTAGCCTTTTTTGGGTTCCGTTTGTCACCGGGAAAAGCCATCAACTCGAGAGACACGTCAAGAGGGCCACGATGCTTTTGCGGTTGTTCGAATGTGTGCGCGTTGCGCTCGCTATATTCCTGTGGCATATACAAACACAGAAAAAAAAAGAGCAAAAAAATGTATAACATCACGTATGTTTGCATAGGAAAATTATACGTATTTGTTTTTGTTTTATTTCGTCATTTCTCTTCTTTTTTATGTGTGTGTTTATCAGTCGAGGTTCATCGGAGGAAAAAGCTGCACTTCGTTCCGACCTTAGAGCCCCTGCGGAACTTTAAAGGCAGAAAAGAAATTTTCCTTACATTCGTTCATACGAAGTTGCGGTAGTAAAAAAGCACGCTAAAAAAAAAGCTTTTTTTTTCGATGTTTGCGCTGGTGAAGTTAGCCAGAAACGTTGTTCATGCGTGCTACAAAAATATAAATAGCGCTCACGAACAAAATATTAGTGTTAAGTTAGTTTAGCAATTTGTGTTTGAGTCACATCGGCGGGTTCGAGGACACGCCTAGCCTGCAGTCATATGTATATATATATATATATTTTTATATTATTATTTCCTAACTGCAGTTTACCGTAACAATTTCTCTACTGTTTTACCGGAACCACGAACACGAAGGTTCGATTAAAGATAGAACCTCTCTGGCCTATGGCTTGACAGTTCCTGCAGAGAGAGCATTTTGTGGAGCCACGTATTCGCCCCTGTAGTTTTGACATCGCTACATACAGCTCATCAAATAGAGTCCAGCTCAACAGTGGTCGGAGGAAGTTTGAGATTAGCAAGAAGGGCGTTGAAGTGTCTGTTTTGAGCCCATAAACATACACAATCACGTTCTATTGAATTTGTAAGTTTGGTCGCGACATTTCGTTTATATCTTGAAAAATTCGAAAAGAACATGCCACTCATGCTCGTAATATTGGCGAGGAGATCGAACTATAAGAGGCACTCTTTTCAGTTTGATTTCCCAGAAGCTCGGTGTTTACCCAACACAGGGCTTGTGGATTTGATTCTTTACGTAATGTAAAAGTAATGACCATAAGCGGAGTGACGTTGCCGGGACGCGACAAGCCGGACATCTTCCGAGAGCATTCGTCAGAGGATGCGAGCTTGGCCCATTTCCTACGACTGGTTCAACGAACACGTAGCTTCCCCAGTACCGTCAGCTTAGGACTGAACGGAATATTGTCGTATCGCGCTCGGTGCGAAATTCGACGAAGAGTTGCGCGGATGACCTATATGCATCTACAAACTACCAACCGTCTTCTAAAAAAAAAAAAGAAAAAGTGTAGTTGCTGAGTGTTTGTGATTGGTTTCGCAAATCAGACTCCATGCTGACACGGAAAGAACATTGAACAATTTGATTTCCTTTAGTCGGGGACACCTCTCTCAGTCGCTGTCAAAGTTAAAAGCGAAAAGTCCATCAAACCTGCGCACACGCACTCTTAACTTTGGTTCACCAGACAAAGTTTCGCAGTGCTACTAACACAGACATTCCACTATCATTCTTATGGCCATGGCCCCAACGCCTACTAGCACAGAAAATCGGCACGGCAAAGACGAAGCATTCCCGCACTCCGAAGCCTCGGAACGGTCAGAGCATTTCCAGCTCTCCGAAAACTCGGCACTGCCAGAACAAGACGACCCGCCATCCACGCCAACTCTGACAACTTACAGACAAGACCGAGTGAGGGGGAAAAAGCTAAATTACTTTTATTTTCACTTTTGTTTCAAACCAGGCGAAAACAACACGTCCTTTCGTTTTTCAACTACATTTTTTTTTCTCTCCTCTGCGGAGGATAGATTAAAAAGCCGACGACCAGCGCGAAAGAGACAGAGCGAATTTCCTTTTGAGTGACAAACCAAGAGCTGTCATTTTGGGCATGCCCGAAGACCGCAAAAGTGGACGGCACCGCGGCGTGCGCTTTCACGAACTGAATTCTCCCCCCTAATTACGGTAGCCGCGAGCCATGTCCGGTTTAGCGGGCTCGTAGCCAATCCAAGCCGGACGCCCATGACGTGCCCCCAGGTGCCCGGCGTGAAATTGTATTCGCATCGCTGAACTCCCCTGTAGGCCTCTGTCTTTGCCCATCGCTCGCGCGCGAGGCGCCCTCGCGTGGCCTTGGCGTGAACGACCGAGGCGCTGTCACGCAAAAAAAAAAAAAAAAACGAGAGGGGGGGGGGGGGGGGGGGTTATGAACAGGCCAACGTCGACTTCCGGTGTACGAGCGCTGATCCGGCGTCCTTTCCGGAATCTTGCCCGAATTTGGTGCTGAGCAAAATAGACACTTTTAAGAAGTGCGCCCCATCCAGTAGGTGCTGCGACAATTCTCCAAGTCCGCCATTGTTTGGACGCATACCAACGTTACTAGAGCACCACAGTTGGAAAGCTGCCATTGAGCCTCCTCTGAAAAAGTTGCACTGATCCGTACTCGGGAAGCGATCTAATGACGATCGCAACTCCGCCATTTCTCTCGCTGTATACACTCGGGGAACTGCACGGCTGTATGTATTGTTTCAAGAGTATCGCATTCGATAGCGTCCGCCGTGACTGTTCTTTCACCGCACTCTTTTTGCCGCCCGAGCGACATCGCAATCGCAAAATCGCAAGTAAAATCGCATCATGTGAATTAGAACCACTAAATGTGCTACGTTTAGAGTATCGGCACTCAGTTCGCCGATCTGCTAGTAAGCGCCACCATCTTGGTGCTTAGAGCAGAGCAGATGCAACTGTCAATCGCAACAATTAAAAAAATGCGACTTCCTTAGCTTTAGACGCGGTGGTATAGGAAGCTCAGGGGACGTCGTTTTGTTCTGTCACGAACTGTTCTAACAGTTCTGGGGGACGGAAAAACGTTTCCTGCGATTTCAGATAACTGACAACCATGATTCTAAGAGGGGGTAGAAGCTGAGCTAGTTGGTGGTACATATTACAACGGTCAAACCAGCTGAACTACGAAATTAGGGAGAAAGGAGTAAAGACAAGTAATCGCTGGATTACCAACTATTTATTAAAGATTCTTCGTTTTCCTCTCTTTGTCTACTGGCGTTGTGGCTACCTTCTCTTCTTCCTACTGGATTTTTCTGTTCCATCTCGGATACTGGTTTTCCGAAGGAATCTTTTTTCGCTTTCCTGTAGCGCTCGAACTGGGTACCATACTAGCTCACCACAAAGATCAGCTTGCCCGTGAAATACTTGAGGCCTTGGCCCTAGAAGATAAAGAAGAAAACTGCGTTAGTTCACCATCCATTGCGCTACAGGAAAGCGAAAAAAGATTCCTCCGGAAAACCAGTATCCGAGATGGAACAGAAAAATCAAGTAGGAAGAAGAGAAGGTAGCCACAACGCCAGTAGACAAAGAGAGGAAAACGAAGAATCTTTATTAAATAGTTGGTAGTCCAGCGATCACTTCTTTACTCCTTTCTCCCTAATTTCGTAGTTCAGCTGGTTTAACCGTTGTAATATGATTCTAAGCACCAAGATAACTCATCTGTCGTTACCCTGAAGCGTAGCTTATTTAATGGCTATAATGTGAATTAAGCGTCAGTGTGCTGCTGTTTTGATAATAGCCACCAAAGAAACTAAATCTCTTGGCGAAATATCAGGTGCCGTCTTGAGACCGATAATACGTTTTTTATGTTTGTTCTTGCATTTGCACCGAGATGTTTTGGTGGTGTCTTCTAATGGTTCTCATCTCTGACGTCCGGACTCCAAAATATCATTACTTTGAAACGTACCTTAGTTAGTGATCCTAGTTAAAACCCCTTTATGTTTTTTTTTTAGTCTTGTTCTGCAAGTAACCTCAAGTGTACCAGTGCACGACACCCACTGCCAGTGCTGCCCTTTAAAGCAAATGGCGGCGCAGCACTAGAGACACTGTGAGCGGCGCTAGGAAGCAAATGGCGGAGCAGCACTTGCTCGTAGTCATGTCACATTCCTCGTGCTGTGCATTCGCATAACAATGATTGTCGGTACTTAGAAACGCGAAGCGTGAAGTTTAGGAAAGGCTTTATCCCTAATTGCTTCAATTGAGAGACAAACAAAAAGAACCCGAATTCCCCCTTTGTTGTTTCAGGAATTTCCTGTCGGCATGCTGGTTGGGTCAAACCTCCGCGTTTAGCATCCATACCGATATATACTTCCGACTTTTCTTTTTTAAACGATACTCCGCCGATAAGTTCTATGATTGATTACTCTGGCTGGAAGAAAGTGGGAAGCGCGGAAAATCTGTCTCGCGCAGATAACTCGGCCAAGGAGCCGATGACGACGAGGAGAAATACCTTTTCTTTTTTTCCATAATGTTTTTTTCTCCGTCTTGCAAGTCCCACTGCACCCATAAAACGAGCGCTCACATTACGCGGGTTAATAACGGACAAGTTCTAATAAACGGTGAATCGACACGGCTTCTAACACTGAGGAACAATGTCCCAATAACCGGACGGCATGTCGCACAAGGCGTTCTAAGGACACCCGTATCTTTGGCCCAAGGTTGACAGCGGGCCGGTCCCCAAGGAGCGGAAATGAACCCTTCCCGTTTTTTTTTTCTTCTTATTATTATTATTTTGTACCGTAACTTGTACTTTTTTTTTTTTTGAGACGGAGAAGTTTTGGAGTTACGCGTAAGTTTACGACGACCAGAGCCCTTGGAGATCCTGTTTTTGTGTATGTGTGTTTAAAAAGTTTTTGTTTCACAAGC